CTGAAGGCAAATCAGTTAACGTCTTGGTAGTACAGGCCAGGCCAGTGGTGTTAAACTCAAACAGAATGTCAAATAAAACTATCCATACAGATCCCTGCAGGCCACATATTGACTAAATTTTAAAATATGATGCTATTTGTCATCTCTTTTATTTTTAAAATATTTCCCAATTATATTTTAATAAATTTCAGGCCATGTCCATGTATTTACCATGTCTGTTCTAGGTCACTTTAAAAGCTGCAGAGAAGATTCTGACCTGTGATTGTTTAGGGGTGGGAACCGGCAGCCTCAAGGCCACACGTGGCCTTCTACGTCCTTGGGTACATCCTTGAGTCCTTGTGACTGAGTCCAAGTTTTACAGAACAAATCCTTTTATTAAGGGGATTCATTCTCTAAAGTTTGGATTCAGTCAAAGGGCTGAACTCGAGGACCTAGAGGGCCACACGTGGCTTTGAGGCTGCAATATCCCCATCCCTGGTAGAGAGCTTCCACATCCATGAGTTTCCCATAGTGATGAATTTACAGTTCTAGTCCTCTATGCCCCACCCCTCCCCAGATCTCTTAGGCTGGCTCTACAATGTAACAGAATGAATATTTAAATCCATCTGAATTATAGATCATAGTGAAAGAGCTGAAAGGGACCTGAAACAGCATTTAGTCCATACCCCTCCCTATGTGGATGAGGAATCTGTGGCCTAGAATGGGAAGTCTGAATTGCCTAAGATCACACAGCAATATGTATAGTATCAAAGGCAGGACCTGAACCCAGTACTTCCAGACTCTGAATCTGGTTGTCTATCTGTTATAGCATGTGGCCTTACTTCATTAATATTACTATATTTATATATCAAGAGTTATCTCGTGGTTGAATAATAGTAACTGCTACATTTAGAGTACTTTAAAGTTTCATTGCACTTCACATACTAATTCTCTCATTTGATTCTCACGACAATCTTCTGAGGCAGGTACTATAGGTACTATTATCCTTATTTTACAGATGAGGAAACTGAGGCACAGTAAGTTAATTTATAGCTAGTAAGTAGCAGAGGTGGGATTTGAAACCCAGTCCTCTCACTGGAAATCCACAGTTCTTTCTACTGTACCATGCTATCTCTCCATGAGTTCAAATGAGATAATGCATATCAAGCACTTTTAAAGTTATACCTATGTCAATTAGTCATCCTCCTGGCCTGTCTCACCTTGTAGAAGGCAGTCCATTCATGCCTGACTTACCCAGCCAGACATAAATGTAAGCGTAGGTGTGTAATAGAGATGCCTCTCTTAGATGCAAAGCTAGGGCACAGTGAAAGGGCCTGTGTTATGTGTAAATGGATTATTTTCCTCATGCCACTCTGGTTAGGACAGAAGGACTCAGCCTTAGAAGATGAGTTATATCAGAATTCAAAGTTGTAACAGTGATCAAAGCCTTCCTTTTGCTCATGCAAAGAAATATGAGAGTTCTTACTTAGGCTGCTCTGTGTGACAGAATAGAATTCTGTACTATTTATTTTGGTCTCAGTTCACATGCATGCATGTGAGAGCATCTCAAAATGTATTTTTAATCCAGGAAACACCAAAGCGTGATATTCCATTACAGATGTCCCTGAGAACAATCTTTCTAGTAAGACCTAGCTTAAAGAATGGAAAGGATAACAAAATTATAAATCAATGCTATTATTTTCAAACCACTGGCAACAAGATTCAGTAATGAGTCAACTGACGCTCTGCAGTAAATGTATTACTTGGCCTCTTTTCCGGGTGGGAGAGTTTCTATAGTTCTCAGAGACTGTGGAGTTACTGTCAAATCTGCTCTATTCCATGAACTTTTACTGAAGAATGTGTACTCGAGGCTGTGTCCTTTAAACAAAAAAATGATTAAATATGAGGAATGTTTCAATACGCTTTCCTTTTCAGGTCTTTGGTTAATTACTGTGCCGTGAGTGGATTTGGAAAATGGAGATCCCATATTAAAAATGGCAGCATTTACAAAGCTGCCACATATGTGTCATTCAAGCTAAGTACAAACAATCCACAATCATTCAGAGAAATTTATAGAGCTGCACTTTCTCCTGTTCTTAAAGAAACAATGCTATGAAAGGTCTTTCAGGAGCCCAAGTCATGACTACAGGGGAATGGGATTGGTGTTTATAACTGGTTGCTGTTCAAAATCAACTATACACAGATCCAAAAGAAGGTTGTTGTATTTTGTAACTTGATCTATACTAATTTTTTCATGTTTGAATCCAAAATTCTGCTGTGGCCAACTCCCCATAGCCTCAGAGAACTGAAGTCTATAGTGGAATTTGTTCTTTCCAGAAGCAATTATAGGCTACCACTGCATAAATTCAGGCCAAAGCCTTAGATTGGTTCAATGCTTTGAGTATAGTCAGTACCCCCTTTGGTAGGGGGTACTAGGGGTTGGCAACCTATGTAGGTTGCCATTTCAATTCTTCACTTTGCTTGGATATAGAAACCTGGCCAGGGTTTCTAGTCTATTGCATTGGTCAACCTATCCTGGGGAAGAGGAACATGAAACAGGGCAATCCAAATTCTGCAAATGCCAATATAGGCATGACTGTGTCTGTGTTAGTACAACAAAGGGGTCATATTTGTTTTTCCAAATCTCATCCTCACTCCTGCTTTTTACCTCTAACTACTCTTTATGTATTGTCTTCCCCTATATGTAGCCTTGAATCCAAGACCTACAATTTCATAGATATCATTGCTATGGTAAAGGAGAAGGCCACCTAAGAAGGTACAAAATTATTAATTAAGAATCTTCAGGGCAGAGCCAAGATGGCGGAGTAAAAGCAGTGACTTGCTTGAGCTCTCCCCCAAGCCCCTCCAAATACACATACAAAATGGCTCTAAACAAATTCTGAAGCAGCAGAACCCACAAGAAGACAGGGTGAAACAAATTTCCAGCCCAAGACAACAGGGATGATTGATCAGAAAGATGTATCGCGCCAGGCTGGGAGCACAGCACAGAGCGGCATGGGCGCACAGGCCGCAGCAAGTCTGGAGCAGGCCTCAGAGGACTGAATCTCAGGCAGCCGTGGAGGTTTCCAGACTACTCAACCCACTAATACTAAAGACAACTTAGAAGGTCAGTGGGAAAACTCTGTTTCTGTCCATGCTGAGAAAGGAAGGCAGGGTCTCAGATCCGTTCCCCAAGAGTGTGGCGGGGGGGGGGGGGGGGGCAGCTGCTTCCTGAGCTTCCGGCCCAAAGACTGAGGGGGAATCCAGTGGCTGATCAGAGAGGGATTGCAAGGATCTCTTTGCCAGGGCTAAGGCAGGAATCTCTTTCTTTGCCTGTGTTTGGATCTGGGCCACAATTCTGGGTGGCAGTGCTGGGGTGAGGAGGAGCGCTGGCTTGGTGGAGCTTGTAGTGGCTGTGGAGAGGAGCCCCTCCTCACAGTTACAGGACAGAAAGGAGTACTTGTAGTCACAGGCCAGGAAAAGAGTAAACACCTCGCCCCTTATCAATACCACCTTGGAAGAACTGAAAATTTACAGGTCCCTACAAGTATCTCTGAAAACAGCTGTACCAGCCCCCGGAAGCTTGGGACAGTACATTCTCCATATTGGAAGCAGACTCTTACCTTAACAAAGAGTTTAAAACTCAAGTAATTGGCTGGGATCATGAGTAAGCAGCACAAAAAGAGTCAGACTATATTGTCTTACTTTGGTGAAAAAGAAGATCAAAATATACAACCAGAAGAAGACAACAAAGTCAAAGCTCCCACATCCAAAGCCTCCAAGAAAAATGTGAATCAGTCCCAGGCCTTGGAAGAGCTCAAAAGGGATTTTGAGAAGCAAGTAAGGGAAGCAGAGGAAAAACTGGAGACAGAAATGAGAGTGATGCAGGAAAATCATGAAAAACAAGTCAACAGCTTGCTAAAGGAGACCCAAAAAAATACTGAAGAAATTAACACCTTAAAAAATAGCCTAACCCAAATGGCAAAAGAGGTCCAAAAAGCCAATGAGGAGAAAAATGCCCTAAAAAGAATCTTCAATACTACAACACTATATAGGACCAAAATTGATTATATAACATGCTGATCTTCCTTTAAGTCCTGCAAAGAATGTGAATATATACTAGCATGGCAGTTGTGATAATCATAAAGAAGCCATGGTTTTGTGTGGTGTAGTAGAAAGAAAACTGCATTTGGGTAAAAAGCATGTGAGTTCAGATCCTAGCTGTATTAATTGCTACCTTTGTGATTTGGGGGCAAATCTCTTAACTTCTCTGGGCCTCAATGTAAAATGAAGGGGTTAAACTAGTCAAAGAGTCTTAACCTCTTTTTTTGTCATATACCCCTTTGGCAATCTAGTGATCCCTATGACCCCCTTCTCAGAATAACTTTTTAAAAATAATTTAAGGAAATGCTGAACTTCAGTTAGAGTTTAGTGAAAATAGAGAAACTTTTTTTCCAATCCAAGTTCATAGACACCTGAAATATATCCCTGGACTTTTTGGGTCCATGTCTTTGGACTCCAGGTTAGGAACCTCTGAACCAAATGGTCTTTGAGATCTCTTTGAACTCCAAATTCTATTTACTTAAAGTAGCTAGATCTTATTGGATTCACATTTCTTTGAACAGGTCATCTAAGCTATATGCCTCAGTTTTTTCATCTATAAAACAAAGGCATAAGAAAATATATCAAAGGATCTTTCCAGCTCTAATGTTACCATTTAAAAATAAATATAATCTTATCTTTCTGAGATGTAATTAGCTGAAATGAACCCTTTTACCCTTCACAATTTCAATCTTTATGTAAAATCCAGTGTAGAAGCAGTCTCACAGAATGAGATGTGATCATCAAAATCTTATCTTGAATTTTTTATTTTTGGAATAAGGAAACAGATATCTGGCAAGTTGTCAAATAAATGACATATACAAATTCTGGAACCCTTCCAGATTTGCTTTTTAATTCAAGTTGTTCTCACAAATCAAAAAGCATAGCACTGTATTTGTAGGCTACAGTCATGACTGGCTTATTTCCCATCTTATTTCTTGCCCTATGGGGTTCTGTAAAGCCCGGGACATCTCTTCTAATGAGAGGGAGTCCCTCAATAAGAACAGTTTCCCAGGGCCATAGAACAAGACATGGGGCAGGCATTATTTTTTTCATGGCCATAATAGGAAAGGAAATAGTGAAAAAAGGCAGAAATAAGTGGATATATATGTCATTGAAGAAGTCTGAAGATCTGGATTCTGTTCCCAGCATCAATCTGAACATGCTATGTGACCTTTAGGAAATAATAACCATAAATCTCTCATGTTCGATGAATCATCATAGACATTTTAGCCATGGATGCAGGTTTGATCCTCACGTTTCCCTGTTTGCTTCACATGGAAAATTATTCTGCTTTGTTATTAGAAGTGAGCCCCCTAATTCTAGGCCAGGAACTTTGTAAATGCAGTCAGTTGGTCACATAGAGGACTGGATGAGAACCTAGTAGAAAACAAATATCTCTGATGGTGATTTAACTCAAAGTAAGTTATGTGTACAGCATTACGATAAAATAAAGCAATACTTTTTTCCCCAAAACTTGTTGAATCAATAAATCAGTTATTCAGCAAGCATTTATCAAACAAGGGTGGGGAATCTATGGCTTTGAGGCCACATGTGGTCCTGTAGGCCCTCAAATGTGGCCCTTTCAATCCAAACTTCACAGAACAAATATGCTTAACAAAAGGATTTGTTCTGTAAAACTTGGATTCAGGTAAAAGGATGCACCCAAGGACTTAAAAAACCAAATGAGGCCTTAAGGCCATAGGTTCCCCACTTCAAGCATACGCTATATGCCAGGCCCTATGCTATATGCTGGCAATAGGACACAGATAATAATTCCTTCCCCTCAAGGAGGTTACAATTTAACAGGGCTGTGGATACCAAAACATATACATATACATGTAAGTATATGTAGACATATATGCAAAGTAAATGTTAATCTGAAAGAGTGGCCCTAGTAAGAAGGAAACAGGGAGGAACAACTTGAGGTGAGATTTGTAGTAAGGTAGGGATTCAAAGGGCTGAGGTGAGGAGGGAGGCGTTCCATTGATGAGGAGTAACCTCTGCAAAGGCATGAATGTAGTAGGAGTGTTATTTATGAGGAACAGAAAGAAGGCCAATTTGCTTGGATCATAGAGTGTATGAGGAGAAGGAACATGTAATATGTATGGAAAGATAGGGTAGGCGGGTCTGATTGGGAAGGACCTTAAATGCCAAACAAGAAGAATTTGTATTTAATGCAAGAGGCAATTGGAAGCTAATGGAGCTTCTTGAGCCAGTGATTGACATAGTCAGATCTGTGATTTGGCAAAAATCAATGTGGCAGCTGTGTGGAATATAGATCAGGTGAGGGAGAGAATGAAGGCAGAGAGAACAATAGTCTAGGTAATGAGGCAATGAAGTAACGAGAGCCTGCGTTAGAATGGCAGCCATGTGAACGGTGAGGAGATGAATACAAGATGATGTAGTTCAACAAGGTTTGGCAAATGCTTGTAGGTGAAACGTCCGGAGACGGAAGAGCCAGGGATGACATGAGATTGTGCATCTAGGTGAACAAAGGATTGCGGCACTTGTTGGAAAGAGCAGTAAATTGATTGGGGGGGCAGGAATAAAATGAGGTTCATTCTGGACAGTTGGAATGCTTATGGGATACCCAGTTGCAAATGTTCAATAGGCCATTGATAATACAAGGACTGGTTGATTCTTAAATAAAAGTTTTATTTTAAAAACAAATTATGTCTATGGAGAGAGACTGGAGATGAATATGTGGATTTGGGTGTCATCAGCATAAAAGTGATAACTGAAACCATGGGAGCTAATGAGGACATCAAGAGGGAGGATGTACAGAGAGAAGAACTAAGAAAGGGCATTGGATTATGTCCACAATTGGAAGTTGAGACATGGGTAACGATACAACAAAGGACAAGGAGGAGAAGCCAAATAGGTAGGAAGAAAACCCAACAAGAGGAGTCATGAAAGCCCAGAGAAGAGAGAGTATCCAGAGGAAGGCGATTTACAGTGTGTCATGCTAGAGCAAAGTCAAGAAGGATGAGGACTGGAAAACAAAAAAGCCATTGCACTTGGAGATTTAACTCTACTTCAGCTTCTCCATTTTTTTAAATGTGTATGAGAACATACTAATCCTTTCTTATATGGGAATGTTTTACACATAATGATCAAATGTCTTTCAAAGACTTTAACCCAGAGTTTCTGAATTTAGGAAATTTTAATTTGCTAACTATGGAGGTCAAAATGGACTTTGTCAGGATTTTGTGCATTATTTATCGCTCTACCTTTAATAACAATTTAACGGTTTATACACACACTTCACAATTTGCAAATTGTTTTGTTCACAATAACCTTTTCAGGTGGATACTAAAGGTCTTATTTCTATTTTGCAGATGAGCAGAAAGATTTCCTGGCATCTTCCATAAATATGTGCCTACTTTTCCACTGAGGGATGAAAGGGTCAATTGAGAATGAGACTAGTTTTTTGAAGAAGACTTTTTGGTGGGATAGATGGTAACCATTGGGAAATGGGTACTCAGACATTTAATATCTGATGTGACCTCACTGCTGTTATGATTCCTTACATATCTTTACTTCAGATTTATAATACTCTGATTTAATTTAGTAAAGAAGCAATAGTAGAGGCACCTGAGAAGTTGATTTAAATAAATTGCCACTGTAACTGTAATAGGGACATGAGGATAGGTGATAAAGCATCAAATTGAGAGAGGTCCCCAGGGACCTACCAAAACTACATAAAATTTCAGAGTTGTCAAATTGAGTACTTTACAAATACCTCACCCAGAATCCATTTATGTCATGCTAAACACTAAATACAAGAGTCTGCCTTACCATATTTCAATCATTCACTTCATTTTGCTTTGTTCTATTTGAAACAGCTATAATACAGAAAAGGTTCTTTGAAATGTTTTATGGTAGTGACAGTGCACTTGACATTAGACAAAGCCTTGGATTTATTCAACTTTGTTTAAAGAATGTTTTCAGTAGTTTAAGAGGACAGGGCAGAACCGTAAAAACAACAGTACATTTTCCATTTTCTTTTGTTGGATTTTTTTCCCCAGGTCATGGTCAATCCTTACTTTGCCTCTTTAGGCTCCCTACCAATTCTGAGTGTCCATCATAGCACAAAAATAAATATGAATTCCCAGTCACTTTTCTCGGTTTTTAGATTAGATTCTTAATTGATATCACTTAATTCAAATGAAAGTGTATAGGGCTATAGCACAAAAAATTGTTATGATGTTCAAAATATAGGTCAAATTTTAAAATGATTTATAAACCAGGTTGCTCTCCTTTTTATGCATGATTTTGATAAAGTAATCTTTATTTTTAGCATTTTGATCTATATATTTTATATAAAATCCTTCCTGCCCCCCATACTGTTGAGTGAGTTTGGAGGGCAGATAATTTCTGCATCCCTGTGAAAGGAACATATTTGGATTTTCAGTTAATATAGTTAATTATTAGTGAAGTGCAAATGCCTTTTTTTCCTGTAATCCATCTGGTATAACAAGCTGATACATGGATTCAAACTGGTGTCTCCACTTTCTCTTTGACATACAGATACAGTGCTTTATGGTAGGGAAACAGAACTAAAAATCATCATTTCCCCAACACTTTTCTGACAGTTCTTCTCAAATGTTAAAATTCCCAACCAAAATGCACTCAAGGCAGGATGACCTATTTATTTGGGGAGTTCCTTCTGACAAAGCAGAGCAGGCATCACTGCTATTAATTGGTCTGTAAGACTTGGCAACCATGAGGAAAACAGATATTTTCTGAAAGTGAAAGACAGAAGTTTAGCTTCAAATATGTACCCTCCAATTTTGCCGTTCTGTTCTGCAGTTGACAGCAATGGTTGTTACAGTTACATTGAATGGAGGATGGAGAGTCTTGTTCATTGTTTCACACTAGAAAAACGACAAACTGGAAAAACAAGCTGCAGGCCAATTTTAAAACTTACGATAGCAAATGAAATTGTGACATAATTTTTAAAAATAAAACGTTTATTTCGGAATCCTGCAGTCCCCAAGCATCCTGGAACATATGTATGCGCATGTGTGTATATGTATATACATATGTGTATAATATACATATTCAATGTATATATGTGTATACACACACACATACATTGTGTGTATGTACCTATGCACAGGCATGGATATGTACACATAATAAACATATATATGTGTATGTATATATATATATATATACACATACACATAATAAACATATATATGTGTATGTATATATATAATATATATATATATATATATATACACACACACACGCACACACAGATGTAGACAGATAGATGTATACACACACATCACCAACTCTTTCAATATCAGTTGTCTGACTGAACTGAGCAGTGAGGTAGTAAGGTGGAGATTCAAATCCCACCCATGAGTCTTAATGACTATGTGGCCCTGGATACATATATTTAAACTCTTTCTGATTCAGTTTCCTCATCTGTAAGGTGGGGATAAGTAATATTTAACTACACAAGGATGTCCTGATATGCAGCTTGCAAAATTTTAAACACAAGTAAATGTCAGTTTTCAGAAGATTTTTTTGGATCAGTCTTTTCATTTCCTTGACATAGGCAATTCCTGATGAGGAAATTTCCTCTAAAGATAAGTAGGTGTAGTAGCCTTGCAAATTAGAGTTCAAATGAGTTGTTTCAGGTGCTAAAAGCATAAGTGACTTGCCCAGGGTCACACAGGTCTCTCCATTCTGGTGCAATAAATTCTCTCAGTGATTATTCCCTCAAAATGGGATGACTGCTCCATAAAGATGGTGCCAGAGTTCTTTTTCACTCAAACCTGGCCTGTCATATATTTATTCAAGAATTGAATACTGATTGAGTCAATGCAATGCAGTAACAAGCTGACAACCTTGCCACATATTTTTTCCCTTCCTAAAAGCTTACCTTAAACAATGGCATGATACATCACATGCTTTGTATGTGCTTCATTTTTATCGACCAAATTCAGGGCCAACTTATTTCGTATTAGTGCCAAATGATAGAGGTATATCATGAATGGAAAATAGTAGAAAAAATAAGTCAAGAAAGCACTACTACATTCTTTGCTAAACACATAGGCCATATTTTCATGTTACACAGCCTTTTACAGAGAAGCCATATATACATATATTTTTTATCTCAACTATTTCTTTTGAAATCAATTGGTTAGCACACATTTAATATTTACAATGTAGAAGACATTACTCCAGGAGCTATGAGAGATAGAGAAAAGTACAAAGCATTGACCTGCTTGCTCTTCAAGGACATACAACATACTTGGACAGATAACACCTATGGCCCCTCGTGTCCCTGCCTGTCCAAAGGCCAGCAAACATATTGGCTGGAATAAATGAGTGGTTGTCTGAATATATTCAAACTCAGA